AAACTCCGCCGCTCCGAGTCCGCTCGCCTGCGCGGGGGCGGAGAGAGGAGCCGGGCACCTTGCGCACCCCGGCTTGTGCGGTCGCGGGCGAGGGGAGGAAATGTGGAAGGGCGCGGGAGAAGGGAGGTCTGGCGGGGGTGTGTTAAGCACGCCTCTTACCTCGTTAAAACTTACTCCGGCTGTCCACGAAGAGCTAATCTGGGGCTTGTCTTCAGAAATCTGAAGGCTTCTCTCCTTAGTCATTCACATCAGAGCGCCAACTTTTTCAGGAAAGACCCCAGCAAAAGCAAGGAAGGTAAAACATTTTATGTTTCTGAGGCTAAAGAGTTAAACAAAAACCCAAGCCACCCCAGACGTTACCTTTGGTAGTCTTTTATACACTGAACAGATCGAGAAAAAACAGTACTTCCCACCACAAAGCAATGTAAATACTGCGTTTTATTCTGTGACTGTTCCTTCCTCTTTTCTACCTTTTTATTCTTCCTTTGAGCTGTCCCTTTATGGAAGTAGACTGGCTGTTTCTTATTCTTCCTTTTCTTTCTTGTTCTTTGTTTTCTTCTTTTAAGCAAGTCATGTCTGAGTTTTAGGATTCCTGAGGGACCTGTTTTCTTCTGCTTGCTGATGTAGTGCTTTCTTCCACAAGACCTCATTTACCAATTTGTCTGCATTTATGTGAAGCAACTAGACATCCCTATAACATGGTAAGAAAACTCTACAACCCTCTGCTTTTTCTCTAGAATTACAATGGGCTAATTCAAGATTACCTGCCTGAAAATATACACGCTGGAAAGCACACGTTAGCTTCAGATAGCCCTTTTACTGGTACTTGAAGACAACGGTGTCACTTAGGTTGAAAAAGTTTGCTTCTATTAATGCTGACTTTTAGTTTTAACCAAGAATGGGGGAAGTGAAGGACAGAAAAAAGAAGAGCAGAGAACGAGGGGTGGTTTAAAAGGCAACGCTTAGAAGTAAGGTGTGAGAGGCAGACACTGCTTCTTCAAAGCTCTCCGAAAGTTTTGGTATCCGAGATAAGCTGTGCCCATCTGACTCTATAGGCACAGATTGTCTCCATGCCTTTTCTGCTTGTCTTGCTTTCCTTTTACTACTGAAACATTACTTAATGTTTTGAAAAGGTTACTTTGCCGTCACAGCTTTCGCTGTAGCTCACCAGACCAAGCCTTGCTGGGGTATTGTGAATATACTTCTAGAGAAGTGAAAATGTGGAGTGGTAACGATGACTGCTTAATCCTTCACTCTGCTCTTCTGTGAACCCGTGCTTTTCTAGGATAAATATGGGCAGCTCTTTGTTAGTCTGTTCACTTTGCTTTTATTCTGACTTTATTTGTTTACACTCAGGTTGTCGTAGGTCCAGGGTTGCCTATTCCTACCTTAGGTCATAAGTTCTCTGCTTGGTGATGTAGAAGCCTTTTTATGTTAGACCTTTGTTTTCATTTTTTGACCTGGGTAGTTAAAAAGCCTACAAATGTTCTGTGATTTCAGGTATTCCTATAGTAGCTTGACGAACTGGTCAAAGGAAAGCTTTAATCTTTCTGCCTTCTATCCTAGACAGCTGGCAGAAATTTCTCCTTGTATTCTTTTTTCTTCAGACCTTAAGAGTAGAGAGTTCATAGAATTCGTAGGTTTTATCTGTACACTCATCACTGTCAAATTATCTGATCTAATTTGCATTGTAAATATATACTCTGATGTATGATGACACGTTTCTTCTATTTTCTGAGTTAACTACTAAACATCAGCTGTATTGTCCAAAACTGATATCTTAAGAAAAAAATCATTAGGAAAATCTTGTTCTCACAATCCTATACATGATATGTTATCATCACCATTGCAAAGTTAAATTTTTGTACTCTCTTTTTCTTGCTTGTTTTTCAGGCTTTTTACATTTTTTTGCATAGATATACTGTTAGGCAAAAATAATCTATTTTTTAGAACAACTCTACTTTTTACTGTTCTGTGTCTCAGGGGTTCCTCTTGGTTTGCTGAAATTAGGACAAATCTCCATTTTCCCATCTTTTCTACTTAGTTCAAGAGTCATCTAAACAAAACCTGCTAATTTTATTTCCGAGAGGTCAGAATCCTTTTTGTTAGAGTGGACTCTATCCAACATAACCAGAATCTGTTGGAACAGAATCTGCCCAGATACTAATCCAAAAATAATTTCAAAACAGAAACCCCAGTGTTCTGTAAATCCAGACTAATTCTCTTCTCTCCTCTTCTTCCACCTGAGCAAAACAAACTGCAAATAATTTTTACTTTGCTCGCTTGCTGCCAAAAACACCCTGATCCAAATCTCCATAGTCTTCACAATAGTCCTTGAAAATGATGGTAACTGTGTTCTGGCAGATCTTAGTGATTTCTACTGAGAATAACCTTAATTTTTTTTTTTTTTGAGGTCTCTGCATTAGAATTTGGAAAGTAAAGAACCTCATGTAATCGTTGTCTGTGTATGGAGAACATTCAAGGTGTTAACTATTGTACTCAGTTCTTCACCTAAAAATACTATAGTGGTGAGTACAGATTGAGGAGTGCTGGTCTAGTGAGCTCCCAACATTCTGTCATTCTTGGGAAACGAATAGTTTCATGGAAACTGTGGGACCTTGGGAGATTTACTTTGGAACTTGTTGCTGAAATCAGGGGCATCAGGCCATCAAAGACACTGGCTGCAGCAACTGAATCCAGGGAAAAGTCTTCTTGGATCCTTATCCAGAAACTGAGATACTGCTATTTCATTTTTTCCAAGAAAATGGCACACAACAATCCTGTGTTCTTAGACAGGAAAAGTGAACATGTTCAAGGACTGAGCTACTGGAAAAAGCAGGCTGAGATTGCGAATTCAAGCTTGGTGAGAACTTCCTTTTGTACATTAAATGTAGAAACAGAGTGCCTCAACTGGTCAGCAGCGTGCAAGCAACTTTGCAAAGTCTGAAAATCCAGAAGCAGGAAGGAGTCCTTGAAGTTCTGTCCTGGCTAGGAGTACTTGTGCCTGTTTGCCTACTGCTATAACACCTTTTGACTGGAGAGAAGTTCAATCAAATTTTTATTTCATTGTTGCAAGAATCTGGAGATGGAGAATCTGCATCAGTGACAAGAAACACAAAGCAAGTCATCAATATAACAGCTCCTAAAGGTCCTCGCAAACTCCTGGTAGCTGAAATCTGAGGCTAACAACAGAGTCACATAGAATCGATATGTGAGACCCACATGAGAGGGAAAAATAACTGCGATTAATTTGGACTATCCTTATATGTATTGCAGAGAGAAAGGAAAAAAAAAAAATTACAGGGCAGTGCCATCTCCCTGGCAAAGCAGCAATACTTTGTGAATGAGAGTATCAGAAACTCTAACATTATCAGTGGAGAGGTTTATCCTTTATCCCTTGAAGGGATCTCATCAGCCATGGATATACACAAGCACAAAGTTTTAGGATCTGTTAGCTGGGTTTACAAGTTTGTACTGTACTCTGTGAGTAGCGTTGTCCATTAGAAAAAGCTCATCGGATGCAGCTGGAGCCTTAATGAACTATTTTACACTCTTTATGTTAGGCTGTCCCATCCTCATGTGTGACTGGCCAAGATGGGCTGAGCCAGCCTACAAGCTTGTTGGGGTTGCGCAGAGCATCCTCTCTCTCCTTTTCTCCTAACATCCTTGCCGTGTCCCAGCTGCAGAGTTGCATTTCTCCCCTCATGCCAGCTTTACTTCTGTTACCTCTGGCTCTTTAGTGAGCTGATTCGGTACACTGTGCTGGCAGATGGCTGACAAGAAAAACAGGAAATTATTTCTGTTGTCATTGTACACGCTTCAGGAACATGTTTCTGCCCTCACAAAAGGCAACAGGTGAATTTCTGTAGACTTCAGTGGGGAGACAGGCATCTCGTCCGGCACCTTCTGTATCAGGGCACATAAAACAGAAAGTTTTTCTGCACAGAACAGATTTCACTACACACAGAAATAGCAGCTATCAACAGTTAGCTAGAGATTGCCAAAATATTTTTTTTTTATCATGGTAATTTTTTCCCATTGGAACAGTAGCCAGAATGTGTAGAGCTAAAATATACAGCAATAATTTACAGGAGTTAAAGCCAAACCCATTCCCTTGCCTAGCACTGAAAATCCTCATGACCTCCCTCTCTGTCTATTGACAAAGCACTAGCTCAGGGCTAGCTATCACCCAATTACTATCGCACAGAGAATTTTGCCAGCTGTTTTAGAAAATACATTACGTGAAATCTTGGCCACTCTGAAGACTGAGGCAAAACTTTCATCACTAGGGCAGCTTTCCACTGACTGTAGCAGTCTTGATCAAAAAATGAATGCAGTTTTCCCCTTTCTCAGTGTTAGGAAAGTCAGAGATTTTGCTATCCCTGAGATCATAGTCTAGCCCTTCTTTGATATTGTGAAGAAAAAGTCCTAAATGTAGAAATTTGAAATATT